ACTCTTGTGGGACACTCTTGTAGGACACTCTTGTGGGACACTCTTGTGGGACACTCTTGTAGGACACTCTTGTGGGACACTCTTGTAGGGCACTCTTCGCACGAGACTTCCTCCAAAAAGTCACACGTCAAGTCTCCAAAACGAGCGTTTCGTACGAGACTTCCTCCATAAGTCACATGTCAAGTCTCCAAAACGAGCGTTTCGTACGAGACTTCCTCCAAAAAGTCACGTGCCAAGTCTCCAAAACGAGCCTTTCGTACGAGACTTCCTCCAAAACTCACATGTCAAAGTCTGCAAAACGAGCATTTCGTACGAGACTTCCTCCAAAAGTCAAGCGGAAACACCCATCGGAGCACACACATCACGCAGCCCTGCCAAGCAGTTTCGCGAGTCCAGCCCCTCCAAACAATACCACGCCAATGCCAGTGTGACTGCGACATTCACCTCTACCACAACTCACGACCTCTCCCACGAATCTTTCCGCATCCACACGTCTAACGCGCACAAAGTACTGCGCCTGCCACGAAATGTCACACCTCGCAACCTCACGATTCCCTGCGCCTGCCACGAAAATCGCACTTCCACACCTCAAAATCCGCACAAAGTACTGCGCCTGCCACGAAAAGTGACAATACCATCTCATGTGAGCTTCAACAAAATTTGCACCACACCACACGTTTGGAATGATTTCGACCCGTTCTGAGCACACTCCCATCCACCAAAATCGGCATTTCAGCTGAGACTTGTCACGAAAACAGAGCTTCGATGCCACACCCTGAAACGCAAATCCCAATGGCACGGCCACATCCAACACCAAAAACACGACTCTCCAAACGCTAATCCCAATGGAACTGCGTAGCAAACTGCGGATCTCACAAAACGCTGCGCCTGTGCAGCAAAATGCATCACGTTTCTTGCGCGACATGTCACTTTCATGCAAATCACAATGGAATAGCATCGCAAACTGACACGTGACACATCCATGAAAAGTCACTTGCAAAAGCTTCCCCCAATGGCAGCGCCTTAGCGCTCTACTGCGAACACCTGCGAACGGTTGCGGACGGTTGCGAACGGTTGCGGACGGTTGCGAACATAGAAACAACGGGTCGCGAACAAGGCTCTACCCCCAGACCCCCAGAGTTAAACGAGAACCCTTCGCTACGCATTCGGGAAAAAAGGTGCCCCTGGCAACACCTAGAACTGCCAGAACGTTTATCTTCAATCATATCCTCGATCCCACAACAAGACTGGCAAGCTGCAAGCATCTCAATTCCGTGACTCTTGAGAGGAATTCATTATAATTCCAATCCGTTAATCGAAGGATGTGGAAGGTTTCATTGTTTGGTTGCAGGTGTTGAAGCCAACTAGGGTTGGAGCAGGTTGGAGCCAAACGTTTGCAAAGGTATCATCTAGTCATTGCATTGCTGCATTCTGCTTTTACCATCTTTTACCCCTCTCTGTTCTCACGAAAGGGACCAACCCATGATCCTCCATGTGTGTCTGATCTTCTTTCCACTCATCTGAAGTCTACAGTGTCTAAATTCAGAAGCGATTTCTCTCCATTGCCCAAGGGCCCATAACAGCACATCCAAATCATCAATGCCTTGATTTTCTTCTCCACTTGCTCGGTGAGGCTTTGATGTTGCTGCCGAGAGTCCTGCGGCAACATCGGTATGCTTCGCGTGTTCCACATGTCCGGCCACAAGGCATGCAAATTTTCTCAAATTTCACTTTTGAGGAAACGACATCAACTCAGAGGGTAGAGCAGCCGCTAGGAGGTAGGAATATTAGGAATGGCAGCTGAAGCTACTATTAGCAGGAGAACCCTTCGCATGATCGAAACAGTTCTAAAAAGAGGAAAGCAAAAGGTTGATTTTGATTTGGGCCTCTCTAATGAGATCCCTTCAGAACATTCAAACTAACAAAGCCCAAGTCCACCTTCTTACGGTATATGTTCTTATAAGTTGCACTTCGTTACACTTCATGTGCCTCCTGTGCTTGTGCTAAGTTGCTTTCTGCGTCAAGGAGAGCTGATTTCGCCTGCAAGCATCCCAACAAATGCCAGACTTGGGCAACTACCACCTAATTGTTTTAATAGTAACAAGTGCCACGCTAGTAGTAACAAGTGCCTTACTAGTAGTAACAAGAAGCTATTAGAATTAAATTAGATTAAAACAAAATAATAGCTTCTTGTCCCTAGTAGCGTGGCACCTGTTACTACGAGTAAGGCACTTGTTCCTAGTAGAATATGTATATACACAGTATATGAATGTGTATGATGCGTCTTGAGTCGGAGCATGTTGAAGCTTTCCAGAGTGATGCAAACCAGTTCTTCCATCATTTCCAAAAACGTGCTGGCCTGTTCGTGTTCCTTTAAAGCTGCTTTTGCTAAAGCTTGTTGCTGGGAGGAAAGCGGCAAGAGCTTTTCAGCCCTGACGTCTGCCAAATCTAAATTCAGACTTTCAAAGTCAAAAGGAGAAGCAACTGTAAATACTGGCCAGAAACGAAATCAAACCTAACCTACCCTGCATTTTATGACTCATGACTCATGACCATAACTTGTAGAAAGGGAGTATTTAAAAGCCAAATGTGGCACCAATTTAATCAAGCCAAAGCAGCTCTGTGCCAACAATGCTCCCACTCGTCGACATTCGCACCTTATTAACGTGATGATTTTGCTTTCATCTTCATTGGTTTTCCTTACACGCAACTGATTTCGAGCCACCTCGAAAATCGGGGGCTGAATGTCCAGCTGTACCTCCCCAGCACGAAGCAACTTGTTTGGATGTCAACCAACTTGTTTCATGCGGAGCCGAATGGTTGTTTGCAACCAGCGAGAAAGGCACCAGCGAAAGCTCGCAAAAGCCTTTTCCGCGTCGGATGGCCATGTCACCTTGGTTAAACAGTGGCAGCACTGCTAACATGGGTTCCATCAAGTCACAGCGAGCATTATTGAGCAAGTACTTCAATTCCACATGCGGAAAACATAGGCGACGTCCAAACCCCGGCGCCATTCATGTGGTCGTTCAGAAAATTCAATGTTCTGAGGCCAGCAACCAAGTTTCCACTGCCCAACGTGCGGTGGTGCAGTGGCCTGACATTGTTGAAACGTTTGAGAGCAAACTGACAATGGTGCCTGCGAGAATACATGGAGAACTGTGGAGAGTAGTTGTAAGTTTTGGCAAGCAAACACACAAAACACACCGTTGAGGGGAAGTAGAAGAAAAGTGAAGACCTCTTGACAGCGAAGCGCGTGCTGTGCACATGAAGCAACTGTGGAAAATTGCTCCGCAAAAACGTGTGCCGAAATGATGCTAGAGAAATTATGTGATGTTCAATTCTAATTATTGTTTCTAATAGCTTCTTGTTACTAGTAGTAAGGCCAGGAGCCCCTAGTAGCGTCCTTGCTCCTACTAGCGATGCCCTTTGCTACTAGTAGCGATGCCCTTGTTTGCACCTCGATCTTCCGCCGCAAGTCGTCTAAGGTTGTTTCGTGCTGCTGAACTTTTGTGGTGAAGTTCTCCACCTGTCTCGTGCAAAACGTCGAAATGCCAGGGTGTTCCAAACAAATGTCAACAAAAAGAAGCACAAGTGTTCAACGCCATGCCTAGCAGGTACAATATAATACTGTAGTGAATTGTTATTACTGTAATTCCATGCAGTGTCAGGTTTCTGTGGCAATGTGCTGGCGCCTGCCGCTGGAGCACCTCGACCCGTTTAACCGAGCGCTCAACAGCATCCTGATCAGATCAGTTAGCTAAAAAGCACAGAAAGAGCTCCAAAGAAAAACAGAAGTGTGAATAACGCCTCCACAATGCTGCAAAGTGTGATTGCATGTGATTGCCAACCTGCCTTCAACTCGAAAAGCCCAAATAGAGCGTTCATCTCGTCCTTTCCCTCGGAATTTGACGACGTTTGACGAGGTTCAATATGGCTCAGCACTCGACCTTCACCGCGGTTTCTTTGGTCTTCTCCCACGCCTGGGGTTCACAAGCAAATCTGAAGGATTTGTCTGAGCAAAGGCTGAATGTTTGAACCCTTGTCCCCGAATTCTACATCCCTGAATGTTCGCCTTGTTTGCAGCATCGGCCAAGTTGGAAAATTCTGCAAGGTCGTCATCATCTTCCTCGGCACCAACAGCTTGTGCCAATACACTTGTCTTGTTCCAGCCCCTGTAAGCCAATTGCCTTGTCCGGTGCAGACTTTGAAGAATGGGCCTTAGAGCATCGTGAGTCTAGCAGTCTAGCAACAATATCAAGAAAATTGATTTAGAGGAACAGAAGGAAGGAAGGCAGGCAGGCAGGAAGGGAAGGAGGGAGGGTGGCCTTGTTAAAAGGGCCCTTACGATTCCTTTTGTCCTTCCTTTCTATTTATACTTACAGCATATGATGTTAACAACAATATATATATATATGATTATATAATATACGGTACGCAATAATGCATCCGTATTACTCATCCGTATGCATCCCATCGACATGACTTAGATCGACCGACTCTTCAGACCGGACATCTTCGGTGTTTCCCACGCAGTCTAGACTACTGTCAAGTGACGCACAGAGTCGCTAAGATGATCATGCAAAAGGTGCTGTTCCAAGCTCTAATGCAAACATTTACTCACGAAAACAGTAAGTTGTTCGCTTTCTAGCTTGCGGACCTGCACACAGCTCTTTCCTTTAAGCTCTGAGCTCCTCCGCTTGGGGCAGTGGTAGCAACACTCTTGACTCCAGCCTCGAAAACAACCCAAGAATTGAGCTTCTTCTTAGATTCCTCCCAAGAATTCAGCTTCTTCTTAGATTCTTCCCAATCTTTTCTCACGGTTGGGCTCCTACTTTTCGATTTTCCTGCCACTACCTGAACCAAAATGGCAATATATTATCTGAAATTCTGAGAGAGAAACTCAACAACAATGTGCTGTTGATTGCCGCTAAATGAAATGAGAACAAGATTCTGGTGACCTGGTCTGCTTGCTGCTCTTGTTAAGTGCATACACAACGTGCTTTCATTGAACTCAAGGTTTCTGAGACATTTCTGGATTTTGAATGCAAATCTCCTAAACTAGCTTTCAACATGAACACTTGGAGAACTGGGCACCACCACTCTGAGCCAAGTCTGTGCCACCTTTGAGCCATCCGCAGGTAGCGGAGCCTGGCTCCAGTCTCGCATCATTCACACGTAGAGATGAGATAAACGTCGGATTGGATGGTTTGATTTGTGAATAGTGACACGCCATTTTGTTCGCTGCACATTCAGGACATTACCTCTTGATTTACACAAGCTTTGTCGAGAACCCTTAGAAGGTTTACCAAACATCATAAAGATCAGGGGCTTTACCTCCATGAACTGCTCCAGCGTGGCCTTGTCCTTGTCTTTGGCAGCGTTGGCCTTCGATGCCTTTGGCTTGCGCCATGCATCATTGTTGTTGGCCTATGGCGGTTCCAGCTGAAGATATGTTCGATCAAATCCAACCCTTTGATTCTCAGATTGAGCGATTGGAGCATAATTCTCAGATACTGTAGTCTGAAGATGTCTGAAGTCTAAGCCGGTCCAATCGCGCCAGCAATCCCACCTCTGGCTGTGTCCGGTATCGCCTGTGTGTCCGGTATCGCTGATTCCAACATATCTCACATCTAGTCACTTTCATCGAAGTGGAAACATTGAGAAACATATGTTTAATACACAGCAGCCCAGCCGAAGGTGGCCTGAGCACACTATTGCCCATTCTATCATGGAGCCAGCCTTGGGCAAAATGCATGTTTGCAACTTTAGCTCCAAGTAATCTCGTATCTGTAGAATCTGACCTCATGAGAGAGGGCACCAATTCATTGCAGCGCTTGTTTGATTTATTTGTTCCTTGAGCAGGTTCCCGTCATCATGCGTGCTAGCATCAGTAAGTGAGTAGCCGTAGACTGTGTGATTGCTATTGAAAAGCTCTTTTGTGCAATGCCCCTTTTGCTCGTGAGCATTGATGCTTCATCTTTGCATGTCCCCGCACTCTTCCTGGCTCTACCACTCTACCACTAAGTGCAAAATTCAGTGCCATGCCGCCATGCAAAGATCGTTGGATACCTTTCTGACCTGAACTTTGTCACTGGGCTCTCTGGTGTTTCCCACATCAGCTTTGGCGAGCACTGAAAAACTGCGGAAAGGAACCGGCCTTGTGGCGTTGTTTGACCCCACCATTACAAAGCAAACTTGGCAAACGATCATGAGAACGCGCTTTCGATGATGAGGGAGTAAGCATTGCATTCTGACTTTGCCAATTTGCCTACATATACATATATATATATATTATACATATATTTTTGTATGCAAACGTTCAGATTTCGTTTTGTATACCAAGTGCAATCTGTTTGGAGTCTTTTCTGGAGAGCATGGATCAAAAGGGCTTTGGAGTAGAGGCTTGCGGCTTGCCAGGCTGGAGCAAAGCACCCAGAGGAAGTTCAGCGGGCTTTGGTGGGGTAGCTTCGAGTTTTTCATGGTTTTTCTGGTTGCATCTTGCAATGTCTGCTCTATCACCTCTGTCGGAGTGGCAGCTAAGATCTGGAGGGGGCGGGGGGTTGAGGTTCTGATCTGCCAACCTTCGACCTTCCAGTCACGCACCTGACCAGTCCTAGCTCAAGACCACCCCATTGTGCAGCATCCTGAACCGTAGACCAATCATCGAGAGTAGACCGGTCAGGAAGCAACCCGATCATCCACCCCACTTAACTTTGGGTGAAGGGGGGTCAACCCAGGAACTTGAGCCAAAATGGACGGTCAAGTCCCACCCATCCATTCTAAAGAAGTTCTTCCACCGCTAATTGCTACTACGGGCATTGTGCCCTACACTGCAAATGTCTTGGAACAATTATTTATACATATGTATATATCATATGTTTTAAATAGTTACTGTATTTTCATTGACCACACACAACTTGCGCTGCAATCCGCACGCGCCTCTAGGTCCTTCCCTTTCAGGGGGTACCAGAGGTCAAGCTAGACACCAAACCTGTAACAACACGTGCAATGAAAACTGCAGAAGACCCCCGGACTATCCCCAGGGTAATCTCAATGCGAATTATCGGTCCATGGCAACCGGAGATGGTATATGCCTAATTCACAGATCAAGACGGATAGTATCCAAGGATTTATGTGTACGAATGCACTTCTTGACTCGCTGGTAAAGATTATGGCGCTTAGCAAAAGGAATATCTGGTGGCAAGTGATTCCCATACAATGCGCACGACAAATTCGGGGTAAATGGGATTCGAACATTGAGCGGATATGGCAGTCCGGGGGTGGTCGCATACTGGTGCAGTAACTGAATCGCAAGCTCACGTTGTGGCAATTGCGGGCGTGATGCGATGCCCCCAATCAGACTACGATGAAAGCCTAAACGAACCATTGTGGACGCACCTGTTTTTGTGTATCTAGGGTACAACTTTGTCTGCGCTGTACTCTAGATATTGGACTACATTCCTGAAATTATTTGCCTGATGCCATAAACTTCTCACTTCTGGTTTTTGTAAGGCAACTTCTGGGGAAGACAAATCAAGGGGATGTGCTGGTTGATTGTCATGAACTTGACTTGCAGTGTGGGTTCCTAAAACCCATGACTTCATCTCCATCTTGCCTCCCAGGCTGCTATGCCTTTTTGCTTCTTCACAGTGTGGTCGTTGTTCTAATCAATCTGCAGGCACAGAGTCGTGAGGTGCTCGAATGTTTTGCCTGTACAGAAGTTTCTTCAACTCAAATAGTGGCAGCTATAATATATATAGTTCCTGTTCTGAGACCCTTTGGTGAATCTGAGGAACTTCGGCCCTTGTGTATTTCGGACTTCAACCATTTCCAATAACTCCAAAAATGTCTTCAACCGCCATGAAGTAACAGTACAGAATTTGTTGCTGGGCTTCAAACTTCGCAATTCATTGGCGATATGAAAGTCAACAAGCACTGCCTGCAGGAAAATGATAAGTTCAAAACGCATCTCAACAGCAAGGCATAGGACAGGACGATTTGACAAACTAGATCAAGTCAAAACATGAGTTATTACCAGCAACTCTGTTCAAGACCTGTATGTTGGCTGAAATTCATCTGGCACGTAGACAGGAAGTTCTTTGCCAACCTTGGACAAATTCATCAGGTGGCAGATGTTCTGTAAACAAATCGTGTCAGCATGGCATGTTGCAGTCAAAACATCAGGTGCATAGAAGTAGTAAGCCACATGCCTGATGTGCGCATCCAGCCTGAAGTGTTTGTTGATTCATTCTTGATTCCAACATATAACAAATTGATGTCTTTTTTGTCGAATCGGTCCAATTGAAACTGATAGTCTCATTGTGCAGCCAATAAAGCGGATGTCTGACTTCCAGGTGTCTCAGCGGTGTAGCTTGGCAAGAAACACCAGCCCAGCCTCACAGGGGAAGTGCTTGCGCAAAAGGTTGCAGTCATTCAGGAAAAAGAGCCTGAGCCCATGCTAGCAAATGTTCGCGCTGCTTAATGTTGTTTCTCAGCTTTCTTTCACTTGAACTACGGTCTGGGCTGCATCTTGTCACACGAAGATCCCCTGACCAAAAGCATGCACTGGAACTCAAGAGAATCTTCAGCGTATATCCATATTTATTGTGCACAGGACAATTACAATATACTTGCAAACTGTTGAGAAAAATAGTGCGTCCTCAGCTTGCAAACCTCATCACAAGACCTCAGCAGAATAATCAAGAACTCACCAACCTCCTCCCAAACTGTCCAGGGAGGGAGACTTAGATCAGTGCAACCCCCTGGCACCAGCAACAACTTCATAGCCAGGATCTAACCTGACATAAAAATGATATTGAATCTGACATGAGGTTGGAGGCCATCCCTATTAGGTTGGAGGCTGTTGCTACTAGGTGGGAGGCCATCGCTATTAGGTTGGTTGGAGGCCATCGCTATTAGGTTGGAGGCCATCGCTACTAGGTTGGAATTAGGTTGGAGGCCATCGCTATTAGGTTGGAGGCCATCGCTATTAGGTTGGAGGGCATCGCTACTAGGTTGGAGGCCATCGCTACTAGGTTGGAAGCCATAGCTATTTGGTTGGAAGATGTTGGAAGCCATCGCTACTAGGTTGGAGGCCATCGCTATTTGGTTGGAGGCCATCGCTATTTGGTTG